TTTCAATACTCAGGACACTATTTACTACAGTCACCACACTGTACGTACATGCCCATGAGCACTGACTTCATAACTGGAAGCTTGTGTCTTTTGACCCCTCTCCCCTATTTCAGTCCCCCCCGCCCCTCCCAGGAACCACCAGTCTTTCTGTATTTATGAGTTTGGGTTTTGTTTTCTTTGTGTTTTTTTGGTCTGTTTTGTTTTTCAGGGAGTTTTTTTTTAGATTTCACATATGCGTGAGATCATACGGTGTTTGTCTTTCTCTGACTTACTTCTCTGAGCATAATTCCCTCAAGGCCCATACGTGTTATTGCAGGTGGCAAAGTTTCATTCTGTTTTTTATGCCTGAGTAATATTCCTCTCTGTGTGTGTGTGTGTGTGTGCGTGTGCGCGCGCGTGCACATGTGCATGTGAATGTGCATACCCACCATGTCTTCATTACCCTTCATCCATTGGTGGACACTTAGGTAGCTTCTGTGTTTTGGCTGTTATAAATAATACTACAGTGAGCATCGGTGCAAATGTCTTTTCAAGGTAGTGTTTTCGTTTTCTTCAGATAAATACCCAGAAGTGGAATTACTGAATAAGGTTCTATTTTTTTTTTTAATTTTTTTTAATGTTTATTTACTTTTGAGAGAGAGAGAGAGAGAGAGGGAAACAGAACACAACTGGATGAGGGGCAGAGAGAGAGAGGGAGACATAGAATCTGAAGCAGGCTCCAGGCTCTGAGCTGTCAGCACAAAGCCCGACGCGGGGCTCGAACACATGAACCATGAGATGATGACCTGAGCCGAAGTTGGACACTCAACTGACTGAGCCCCCCAGGCGCCCCAAGGTTGTTCTACTTTCATATTTTTTGAGGAACCTCCGTGTTTCCCATAGTGGCCGCACCAGTTCGCATTCCCACCCACAGTGCAAGAGGGTTCCTTTCTCTCCACATCCTCGCCAACACCTGTTGTTTCTTGTCTTTTTTATAATATTGGCCACTTTGATAGATGGGAGGTGATGCCCCATTGTGGATTTGCCTTTCCCTGACAATGACTCCTGTTGACCTTTTTGTGTACCTGTTGGCCATCTGTATGTCTCTGGGGAAATGTCTCTTCATATCGTCTGCTCATTTTTTTTTTTAATTTTTTTTTAACGTTTTATTTTTTTTTTGAGACAGAGAGAGACAGAGCATGAACGGGGGAGGGGCAGAGAGAGAGGGAGACACAGAATCGGAAGCAGGCTCCAGGCTCTGAGCCGTCAGCCCAGAGCCCGACACGGGGCTCGAACTCACGGACCGCGAGATCGTGACCTGAGCTGAAGTCGGATGCTTAACCGACTGAGCCACCCAGGGGCCCCACGTCTGCTCATTTTTTAGTTGGATTGGTTTTTTTGCCGTTGAGTTGCATGAACTTTTTATATATTTTGGATATTGACCCTTGATCAGATACACAATTTGCAAATATTTGCACCCATTCTGCGGACTGCCTTTTCGTTTTGTTGATGGTTTCCTTTGCTGTAAGGAAGCTTTTTACTCTGATATGGTCCCACTTGTTAATTTTTGCTTTTGCTGCCTTTGCTTTTGGTATTAAATTAAAAAAAAAAAAAATCCTCACCAAGACCAAGCTCTAGGAGCTTACCACTGACGTGTTTTCCTAGGAATTTTATGGTTTCAAATCTTACATTCGAGTCTTTAATCTGTTTTGAGTTTATTTTTGTGTGTGGTGTAAGAAAGACAGTGGTCCAGATTCATTCTTTGACATGTGGCTGTCTCGTTTTCCCAACACCATTTGTTGAAGAGACTGTCCTTTCCGCATTGTACATTCTTGCCTCCTTTGTTGTAAATTAATTGGCCATATGTGCACGCATTTATTTCTGGGCTCTCTATTCTGTTTTATTGATCTACGTGCTTTTATGCCAGTATGATACTGTTTTGATTACTGTAGCTCATAGTATAGTGTGAAATTAGGGAATGTGATGTCTCCAGCTTTGTTTTTGTTCTTCCTTCTCAAGATTGCTTTGGCTACTCTGGATCTTTTGTGATTCCATAACATTTTCAGATTGTTATACTTCTGGGGAAAATGCCATTGGAGTTTTCATAGGGATTGCGTTGAATTTTAGATTGCTTTAGATACAATGGACATCTTTTTTAAGTTTATTTATCTTGGAGAGAGAACGAGTCAGGGGGGGCGGAGAGCGAGAATCCCAAGCAGGCTCCTCGCTGACAGCATGGCGCCCGATGCAGGGCTTGATCCCATGAACCGTGAGGTCATGACCTGAGCCAAAACCAAGAGTCGACACATAAATTGACTGAGCCACCCAGGTGCCCCCATAGTATGGACGTTTCAACAAATATTAATTCTCCCAGTCCATGAGCACGGAAGGTCTTTCCAAGCATTTTTAACATTCTTGCAAATGAGTGATATTTTTTGAGATTTCCTTTTATTATACTTTGGCAGATTTTATTGTTACGCTGTCTACATAAAAATAGTTGGGAAGCTCTTTCTTCCTTGAGTTGAAGCATTTTGATAGCACTGGTGCTGTGGTTTGATCGAGATTCACCGGTGAACCTTCCGGGCCTAGTGCTGTGTGCTTGCATTTTCTCTCTGTGTCACACTTCTGTATGACATGTATGTAGCACAGTGCTAACATGATGGGGACGATCACGTCACCTTCCTTATCAGAATAGGTTAGGAAACTGGAGGTTTTACCTTTGTAAGAAATAATCAGAGTGCTTATTTTATTAAGTAATAACAGAAAATGTTGTTGTTGAACCTTTTCGAGTACTTAACCATAATCTGCCTTCTTACACGTGTCTTTGATGTTACAGATGTTCATTTTTATTTGATGGACCTGTAATTAATCTCTTTTTATTGTGTAGAAATTTACAGCAACAATGTCAACACCAGATAAGAAAGCCTCACAGAAGATTGGTTTTCGATTACGTAACCTACTCAAGCTTCCCAAAGCACATAAATGGTGCATATATGAATGGTTCTACTCAAATATAGATAAGTATGTATCTGGCTTACATCGTGAATATCACTTGAACCAAAAATTGAACTTTTTCAAATGTTATAAGCCATCCTCTTTCTTATAGGTCTGTTTTGATTCTATTTTTTCTGACTCCTTTTTCTATTCTCCATTCTAGTTTTCCCCTCCCCCCTTTTGCAGAAGTTGTTACACATTTTTATGAAAAGTCAAATGAAAGTATAATTTCTATATCATAATTTACAGACTGTGGAGTGGATACCCTAAAACAGAGCTCCCTTATTTGTAATGAACCAGATGTGGTTTATAAATCTTGAGATTTTTTCTTTTTTTAGAGAGAGAGAGAGCGGGAGAGGGTGAGAGAGAGAGAGAGAGAGAGAGAGAGAGAGAGAATCCCAAGCAGGCTCTGTGCCCAGCTCAGAGCCCAATGTGGGGCTCATCCCACGACTGTGGGATCATGACCTGAGCTGAAATCAAGAGTTGCCACAAAACTGACTGTGCCACTCAGGCGCCCCAGATCTTGAGACTTTTAAATGCTAGTATATTGGGTTACTCCCTCATGACTCAGTCAGGAGAGCATCCGACTCTTGATCTCAGGGTTGTGAGTTCAAGCCCCATTGGGCGTGCTACTTAAAAACATGCTAGTATATTGGTAGAGAAGCAGTTACTAATGGTAGAAATGATTCAGTGAGATTTTTTTTTTTTTAATTTTTTTTTTTTAACATTTATTTATTTTTGAGACAGAGAGAGACAGAGCATGAACGGGGGAGGGGCAGAGAGAGAGGGAGACACAGAATGAGAAGCAGGCTCCAGGCTCTGAGCCATCAGCCCAGAGCCCGACGCGGGGCTCGAACTCACGGACCGCGAGATTGTGACCTGAGCTGAAGTCGGACGCTTAACCGACTGAGCCACCCAGGCGCCCCTCAGTGAGATTTTTAAGATAAGCTTTTTATTTGGGACATAGTGTTTATATACTTTAATTATACATAAATGTTTCAATAGAACATAGAGATCCGGGCGAAATCCAATTATTCAACAATAGTAACAATAGAAACAATTCTGAATTCTTATCCATCCTAATCGAATTGGATCTGTGCTAATCACTGATGCTTGCTCTGCTGGCTACTTATCTTGACTTCCCCTTCCTGGTTTCTAAACCAGTTGCCTACACTGCAGTGACTCTCGTGGATGGTCATATCTGACCCTGAAACTCACGTGTGATTTGATTGCTAAGTCTGGTTCCTGGTTTCCCAAACTCACGAATGATTGTTTTATTTTTGGCCACAGCTTTTTCCATAGGCTTATGACACTCCCGGGGTGTCCTGGTGTGATCGGAGCTCTTCTGGAATTTCCAGGAACTGGTCTGACCCTCTCGAGTCCTCCAGTTTTCTAAAAATGATTTAATCTCCAAGAGGACTCCTTGGTGTTGGCATTGCCTTTGGGGCGGAGATATTTTGTAGCCGACGTTCATCCTCCCAAGATATAATGACAAATGCTAGGCTGCTTCCCAAAGGATACACTCTCATGTGAGATCTCACAAAAAGCAGTGTCTCCTAGAACCTCAGGCACAGACCTGTTTCACAAGTAGCTTGTAACACTCGTGGTTTCCCAGACTTTCACAAACACCACTTTTGGTTTTAGCACTTTGAATCTGTGCCCATTTTATACGTGTTCTGGGTAGAAGCGTAAGATGGCTTTTGGTGATTAGTATAATGTTGAAAATTGGAAAGCATATTTTGAAATTTATGCGTCTGAAGCAGCTTGTTGTATATTAACCTTTAAAATACCATTTCTGTTTTACAGACCACTTTTTGAAGGTGATAATGACTTCTGTGTATGTCTGAAGGAATCTTTTCCCAATCTAAAAACAAGAAAGTTAACAAGAGTAGAATGGGGAAAAATCAGGCGGCTTATGGGAAAACCACGGAGGTAAAAATAACATTTTTATTTAAAATAAAATCAATAAATTACTCGATAGTATCATTACACATTGTTTTTTTTTCATCTTCACAAGGACTGATACTGGAAACCTAACTTTTCAGAATAATTGTATGTTAAATATATCCTGTTAACCAGCCTTTGTTCAGATGACAGGCTTTGAACATACTTTTTTTTTTTTTTTTTT